TAATACCTAATGTTGCGAAGGTTTTTGAAAAGATAGTACTGATGAGACTTAAAAGCTACATTTACAAAAATCAAATACTGAATGAGTCACAAAATGGCTATATTGAGGGTAGATCTACAACCAGAGCAATTTTTCAGTTGATGGAAAAAATTCTAACTGGAATAAACAATAACGAACTTACCGGTTGCATAATGATGGATCTAACCAAAGCGTTTGATAGTGTTCATCACGACACCCTTTTAATGAAGATGGAAGCAATGGGAATTCGAGGTATTGCGCTAGAGTGGTTCAGATCTTACCTCTCAGACAGGGAACAGTGTGTTATCGCTTATGATCAAAAGGGAAATGAACTAGCATCAAAATGGGTACGGGTTCTACAAGGAGTGCCGCAAGGATCGATATTGGGACCGTTTCTATTTCTCTTATACATCAATGATCTTCCTGGAGTAATTGATGATTTACTAATATTATTCGCGGATGACTCTACTACAGTATCAACTGCGAAAACGGAACAACAATTGTCAGCACAAATACAAAATAACCTCAGTTTACTGTATAACTGGTTTTCTAACAACAACCTTCAACTTAATATTGAAAAAACAAACATTATGATGATTGGGAGTGCTGCAGCGACCAACTGTGACATCAATTTGCAATTCAATGGCAAACAACTTACCCGTGCAGAAGAGGTGATGTTCTTGGGTGTTAAAATTGATGTGAATCTTTCATGGAAACAGCATATTAACGATTTAGCTATCAAGATAAATCGGGCGTGCTATGCGTTGAGAACTATTTCGCGGGTAGTTTCAGTGCAAGCGGCTACAAGTGCGTATTACGCATGTGTTTAGTCGCGACTGCGGTATGGTATGGTTCGTGGAATCCATCCACGAGATTCAAAAGCTATCTCAAACAACATCTTTTAGAATGAAACTTGTATTCGATAAATGATTTTTTTTCTGGAACCATTACAGTAGATTAAATCAGACTGTTTGAATATTATTTGACGTTTTCTGTGCATTTTTGTAAAGATGGAAATAAAGCTTATTATTATTATTATTATTATAGACATCAGTTTTCACTTTGTTCGTGAATTAGTTGATGATAGTTGATACTTCAACCACATATATTTCGTTGCATCTAACATACGTTACTTTATGAACACAGTGAATACTTTTTCTGACAAGGAAACATTTACATTGAGTGGACACATTGGGTAAGAAAGTCGCACACCCAATATCCGCAGAAGATCAGTGTGAGAAGCGAAAGGGTATGGAATACTGTCCTGGGTTCTTACTTTTTCGAGCAAACCTTAACTGGAGAGCAGTTATTCCCACAAGAACAGGTGCGCCACCACACTTCATCAGTTTTTGACACGTGGGAAGTTGTTTAAAATAATTGGTTACCATAGTTACTCATGGTTACTGCTATGTTTATCATGTCAAGCAAATTTGAGGTAGTTAACCTTTAGTAATTTACTTATGTAACCAATATTAATATTGGCTGCTCTATATTCGGGAAAAAATCTTTCATATGCTACCTCATCGCTCATCCATCATATAATGGACTCCCATTAAAAAAAGCGATGATGTCATAGCTCATTTAAAAATGGCAAAAATAAATTAAAATGTACACCAAAAAATTGCAAAAAATTTAATAATGTTTTTATCGGCTATCCAAGAAAATGATTTAATTTTGATTCGGAATCCTCTCTTTATAATATTTACCTTCATTCCTGCTTTTTTCTCAATAATAACGATTCTTAAAACAGCTGGGATCAAGAAAATAAAACTTAAGATTGTTAACAGCGGTAAAATGTGAACAAACATAGTGTTCATGCCATTATCAAACCAATGTGGTGGATGTGGAAATTCTTGAAAGCTCATAGAAATGTTTAAAGGTGACTTGGTAAGCATTTCTAAGTAACATGTATCCAACGCCCATTGGAATATTAGAAATTCACTTTCTAAATATTGCTGTGATCCTAAAACATAAAATAAAGAAAATGCAATAATTACAATTTCTTAGTTTTAATACATTTTATTCCTACCTGCTTCAGGAGCATAAACTAAATCATATCTAAATAATTTGTCGGTTTTCCAGTCGACACCTTCTTTGTAGATTTGTATATCGTATTTTAATCTTGTTGGAATTTCATCCTCAACATCACCAAAATTAATATAAACTACGACCTCATCATCTCCACTGTTTTTATAGTACCTAATAACATCCTTATAGCTATCAAACCCTTTTACACCTTCATTATACAAGTTAACTTTTAATTGAATTTCTCTCGCCAAGTCAGAGGTAAACTTCGTTTGAGGAGAATAGAAGAGTTTGGTATCGACAATATTGATAGCAGTTAATAGTTCAGAATCCGTTGTTTCGTAAGGGGGTCTAGTAGGAGTGTAGTCTTTTTTGAACGAAGAGTGTTTGCTTCGTATAATTGCCACCACAAGAAATATAATGATTGGAAGACAAATCTCCAACAATGTTAATAGGAAGTGCCGTTTTCGTATTTTATAATGCTCCCAGAACATTGTCCGTAATTGCCTTATTGATGAATTCATTTTCATGGCTATTTAAACTAATAATAATTATATTAAATTTTAACTTTTCATACTATTAATATTTAATAGTTAATAAAGTTAAAAAAAGTCAAACCAAACGGTGTTCTATGCCACTTATCACAACGTATTATAACTAACTGCAACTTAACCGCAAATCATTAAAAAAAGGTTATCTCATCTTAGATAAATCATTTTTTTTTAATATTTCGAAACTGCAATGTTTATTACGTTATCTCCTTGCACGTGCAATAAATCTTATGTAATAATTATGTTAGAATGTATTAATTGCTACTCATGTACAAGAAGTTGTTCTTTTCTCTCGGATTACATATAGTTTTCTTTTTAAAGTAATTAATTTTAATAAATCGTAATTAAATTATATTTGTGTTGGGAAACACATTATTATAGTATCATTGATTGGAATGATAACTAGAGTCTATTCTAGAGTATTCTTGTAGAGTATTTTAACCGTGCCAAAAGTCAAGGCCCCTTTGAGATCGACAACTCTTTAAGTTCTATCAGTCGGCTAATATGACTATATGACTATGTAACTCAATATGACAATACATTTTCCATTTAATTGGGTGTGGAGGAACTTTAGATATCTAGGTGTGGACATCTATTGCAGTCACGACCCCACTAGCGAAGTAAAATGTCAAATAAATAAAGCAGCAATTCTATCGGGATGCTTAAAAGATATAATTTGGTCAAACCAACAGATGGCAAAATAAGATGTTATATCCGGTATAGAGCATATCGAGAAGACAAAAATCATACTGACAGTTGCTGAAAAGAACTTAAGCATTATCTTAGACAAAATAAGAAACACTGACATCCGGAAACAGAGCGGGATGCAGGACGATGGGGCCGACAGGGAGCATGGAGATTTGTACAGTCATATAAAAAATAATAATAATAATAAGCGAGCATACGCTACCATGTATTGTACCAAAAAGATGGTGGATAGCTGACAGACCGACAGTTCTAAGAGAAAGAAGAAGAAACAGAATTGTTAAGGATTTACAATTTTTTGCTAATAGGCTTAGTTTATCAACAAAATCTTTTTAAGTAATTGTTACGATACTGTATACAAAGCTGTTGCCATTTATTATTTTACCGTTTAGCTATGCATTTATTATGTATATTATAACCCATTTTTACTATCTCTCACCTATTGGATAACGTTTTTCTAGAAAGTAATTCCAAAATGACTTTTACCAATCTGCATTGAAACTACAAAACTACCATTTTTTAAATTTTGTATATTCTTGTCTTTTCATCCCATATACGGTGGTCCATTTAACGTGAGACAAGCGATTATCTCGAAAACGGTTCATTTTACATAAAAATTTCCGCTCTTTCATGTTTTCTGGCGTAGTTGGTACTTCGCGATAAACATTATCCTATTATCAGGTGATCTGGCAGACCAGGAAATTGGACTTCCCCTTCCAATCCATCGCCCAGTATAATCCCAAACTAAAGCTTCACGTGCAATATGTGAAAAATGTGCTGGTCACCCATCATTTTGCAGCCACATATTTTGTCTTTGTTCCCTGCTCAAATCTACAAATAACGTTGGTAAGACGTCATCTACAAAATTTCGGTATTTCAGCATACCCCATTCAGCATACCATCAATAAAGTATGGTACCGATCAATTTATTACCAATTATGCTACACCAAACATTAACCGACTGTGGGAAGAGTCACCAATTTGTGGGACAATTTAAAAAGAGATTAAAACCAATTTTCGTTACAACGTGACTTGACTTTTTATTTTGTTATAATAATAATAATAAACAAACTTTTTGTATCACTATGGATTTACAATTTTTGTTTAAAAAAGAACTTATTACTATGATTTATTCATTTATGATTTAATTTATAATTGTGGTGGTTGCCACACCGACCAAGGTCGTTGATGTTCTACTTCACGTAACCATCTCGGATTTTCAACGCTCCAATAGTGGATGTTATATCTATTGACTTCTCCTTTATTTGTAAAAGTAGACTCATCCGAGAATAGCACAAAGAAATTAACGTCCAACCGCATTCGTTCTTGTGCCCGTTGACAAAATATTAATCGATTTTCAAAATCACCTCCATAAAGCTGTTGATGTAATGAAATGTGGTATGGGTGATACTTGTTACGCTTTAATATTCTTAAAATGCTGGTCTTCGATATTCCGGCGTCAATTGCAAGTAGTCGAGTGCTAACTTGAGGATTTACGCTAGCTAATACCGCAATTTCCTTTTCTTCCGTAGTTATAGTTACTACAAGTCTTTTTCTTGATTCCACATTTCCAGTGTTAGTGAAATCATTCACAACTTTATAAAATGTACTTCTCGTATTTCGATCAGGAAAACGTTCTCGATACAAAGCTATACTGCCAGCAACTTTTCTGCCACTTTCTCCATAAATAAAAATCGTTTCGACTTTTTCTGCCACACTTAGAGTATCCATAATTTAGTGACTTAGTTTAAACACTTTGCCTTAATGTAAAACGATTCAGAATTTGTTGCCAAGCAGTTTTTATGCAAATTTAGTTTTACCTGTTAAATTTTAAAACAATTCAACCAATTAAGTCTCTGAAAGCGATATTCTGAAAATGCCGACATAAGCAGTTCCACGCACTCATGTTTTTTATGCGTTATTCTATTATCAAATTGACAAAGGCGGAGAAATATCGGTACCTTTTATACCTCTTTCCAAAGGTATTTCCGACGAGCCAGGTCTCCCGATATACCTCTTCTGGATTTTTTTTGTTGAGCATTCTTAAACAGTATTCTAAGAATTAAGAACTAAAGACAATGTATCGAAGGGAGTAGGAAAATCTTTAAAAATTCATAAATCTTATTTGTTTTTGCTAGATTATAAACGTTAGTTAATTAAGGCAAAACCACACAGGAATTTTGTTTTATTTTTTTTGAATTACTTCACATATAAAATAAAATATATGGTGCCCTTTAAAAAATTGGTCGTGACCTTCATATAACCTTGAAAATAAGGTCAAGGTCAAAAATGTTATCGTCATATGGGTTCCCCCTTCGCACAGAACAACTTTAATTTCGTTCATTTTTATGTAAAATGAACCGTTTTCGAGATAATCACGTGTCTCACGATAAATGGACCACCCTGTTTGTATAGTCAGCGTCATAAGGAAGATTTTCAAATTAGACAGGTAACTCCACCTGACTAATTTGAAAACGGTTCGAGATATCGTCATCAGCCAAATCACTTGAGGCAATTGAAAAGTTTTTACTACTATTGGATCTGGGATATAGAATGAGCATTAAAAGGATCAGTAGGGTGTTTACACTTTGTCTGCATTTGAAAAGTTTTTGCAAAACATATTGCAGTGTCCACTCTTGACACCTTTCGCATTGGATATATTGATTTTTCTTATGTTATGGTACTTTTGATAGCGCACTAATTTCTAACTAACACGTTGTTGATCTGCTTGATTTCGCAGATCTTTTCCATGTTCAGGGATAAATTAATAACTTTTTAGTTTGATCAAATATATAATATATGATAAAATAAACAGTAGGTTTTTGGTATAGCACAAAGTCGTGATGCATCAAAGGAAGATTTTGAAGGATCCGAAAGTTCTTATTATGTATATTATTACTCCTATTATTACCCTTATTATTACTCCATTGTTTATTTAAGAAAGAAAACCAATTTTAATGAATAAAATGAAAACAAGATATTAAAATTATTGGTTTAATTAATTTGTATAAGTATTAAAACACTTAATAAATTGATTTTAATTATTAGTTCTTTCTCTTAGATGATCTCTAAAATCGTATGTTAGCAATTTAATGCCAAGAAATCCACCAGATTTGCGGTTATTTACACGTTCTGTTTTATAATAAATCCCAAGTCCGTGTAAAGGACCGGATGATACCACTTCTTGAATATCAAAAAATGGTACGGTAGTCTGTGCAAAATCTGTTTCAAAAGATGAATGTGTGAAGTTTATGAACTGATTATTTTGTATGTTTACAATTGTTGACTTGCTTCCATTCCTTGGTATATCGGCATCGTTAATATCTATTTCATCACTAAAAATTTTCACATAAAAATAATAAAAATAACGAAATGTTAATAAATAACGGGTTTTCCAATAGGAACAGAACAAATTTTTATTAATACGAATGCACCCTTGAATATTTTTCATGATCTTTCAACATCAAAACGTCTGTGAAGGCTAATTTCTTTATCATCATGAAGATCACGAACTAGCAACATTTGGAAATTATTACAAACCTGTATTGCAATTCTGCGTTGGTGGTCGTAACATTAAGAGCGCTTACAGCTTGGCAAATCTATCTTTGTCAGTTGCGCAAAAGAAGGAGTGCGACCGTAAATTTTTGATGTGAGGTAGGGTTCTCATATGATCGACGGAATGTCGGCGCAAAGATGCCACGCCATTACGAATTAGTAGTATTTAATAAGCCTATAATAGAATATATGATTAGTTTTAAATATAGCATCAATATTTTAAACAGAAGGCACCTTCAAGAAGAAGTTATTGCTCAAACAATAAAAGAAGCTTTGATATTAGGTTATCTGAGGGATATAATATGGCGAAACAAGTATATGTCCCTAGAAAGGAATGTCCGCATGTATAAGATCTATGTAAGATCTGTTATAACATACGCGATAGAGACAAGAAAATACTACCACAAAAAGAGTCCCCAGAACAGCGGAGATGAAGTGATATGTTACGGTCAGTGTAGATCGTTATCGTCCATGACCAGTGATGGGCGCTGGGCAAATACCCGGCGGGTAGGTATTTATAAAATGGGTACTTACCCCGGCTCAGGGTAAATACCCAAACAGTACATGTAAAAGTGATACAAGTAAAAATATAACAAATTCGGACAAAAATGTAGAGGAACATGATGAAATGGGCGTTGAAGCCGAGGAATTGTCAACGATCGAAGACGTATTATTATCAGGTAACCACTGCTCATTCTTACAGGAATATCGCTCATGAAGATGTTTCTAACTTTCCTGTAGGCTGCCCATGCGAGTATCATCCTTCTGTTTAGTTCGCTTGTTTGATTATTATCTCTCGATACACGAACCTCATGGCCAAGATATATGGCTACGATGCGAACCAACTGAGATGAGTACTTTAAGAACAATAGTGGAAAAGACAAGAAGAGATAGAGTAAGGAACAAAATTGTAAAAGAATTGTGTGGACTCGGAGATGTCATGAGATTTGCTAGGGGAAAAATAAAAAAATTTAATGAGTACTTCCAAAGAATGGAAGAAACCTGATTAAGACAGCAAGAGACCAAAGATTAGCTAAGAGATCCCGGGAGACCAGGAAGTTGGATTTCCAGCTCTAATGAAACACCATGAATGATGCGTAAAAAACAGGTTACAACCTGAATAAAAAAAGAAGAATAATAAGATCTTAAACGAACTACTTAATTTTAAATTGGAAATCAACAATCTCATGGATCTTGGAATCTTGGATTTGATGGAAGTGCAATATGACTAGAAAAGAATCAAACAACAAGAATTAATGAAGCACAAAAACTGAATTTAGTCATTAATATTAGACTGATACTCAATTCAGGACATTCAAAGTTGTTTTTCAAGCATTAAAGAAATCGTTAAATATTTTCGAAGAGTATTACGTAAAGGAGAATGGCCGGTAGTGAAAATATAAACTTTTCCGAAATATATGTACACTTTAAAGCTAATAACACCGGGAATGTGTATAAATTTGTTAGACAGTTAATACAAAGGCACAAATCGCACGTAGCTTTATGCTGAGACGGAACAGGAAAAATAATATGTGATAGTGAAATGAATGACATTTGGAAAAATTATTTCCAAAACCTGTTAAGCATAGAAACTGATTTGGAAATAGACAGCAGTCCGTCACACCAAAGAAAGGATAGTGTCATGGAACCTATATCAATTAGTGAGGTTCAAAACGCAATCACTGCGTCAAAACATGGAAAGGCATCCGGGATTAATGACATACCATCGAAAGTATTCAAGATAGAAGTATTCATTATCACCAATATTGATGTTAGAGCTTGGAACAAGATTTGTCCTAAATTTTGTTGATATTTAGCCCGACTCAGTTGCATACTTCAGCATCAGTTTCATCTCTCCAAGACTATCCGAAATAAGGATTATATCGTCCGTGTAGCGCAAATTACTTAGGTATTGCCATCAATGTTTATACCTTTTTGGGTACAATCCAGTTGTTTAAATGCACTCTCCAGGACTGTGATGAACAATTTGGGTTCAACATTATATTGCCTTGTCTTACCCCACGCCCAATGAGTATTCGGTCAGTACTTTCATGCAATTTTACCGTCATTGTAGCATTCTTGTAAATGTAATAAATAAGTTTGGTGTATCGATAATGGACTCTGCATTCTTGAAGTACTTGCAAAACTGCCATCAACTCAATTTAAATCAAATTTTATAAATACCTCTAAATACCCATCTTGGGTAAATACCTCCGGGTATATATCCAGGGAATTTTCCCTTGAAAATAAATACCCGGGTATTTAACAACACTG